GACGTTTCTCAGAGATAGCTACACAAATCAGTCTGAGGAACTTTATTAGCTGATGTGCATGTCCATCAATAAACTGATCATTTTACTTTAACTAATTTATTTTACCGGATATTTTTCTAATATATAGCGGTGAACATGTGGAAACTGTATCAATAACAGTGCATATGCACAATATCATAGTTCCCTTCAGGGGCGTGGTAGTGGGGGGAAAAGTGGACCTGACTACGGGAGAGGGCCCTTTGAAATCCCACCAATTTTTAAAAAAATTTTTTTTAAACCTAATTAGAATGATTTGGGCCCTCCAATTGATGTCATTAATAATAATTTAAAAAAAAATATTGACCAAAATGAACTCAGTGCCAGACACTCTGGACCCCCTTCCAAATGGTTTAGTCCGCAACGCGTCGACCGCCCATAGACGCAGCGGGCGGCAAACAAGTAATAACGCAGTGAGTCTAGAGTAGTGATGGGAAGTCCGGTTCTTTTCCGCGAACCGGTTCTTTCGGACAGTTCGTTTTAATGAACCGGTTCAAAAAACCGGTTCACCAGTTCTTTTACGTCATCACGTAATGACGTCAATTCTATCATCCCGGCGGATAAAAATACTTCAAATTAAAGGCATTTGTAATCACAACTTAAGTTAAATAATAGTATGCATTGTCATAATCATCTTGGATAAGTTTCTTACATTTACATTTTGAAAACGAACCCTGCTGCAGCCTAGTCGATGTGCTAACGCGGATGTTTTACATGTTTTAAATATATAAAATGCATAAATGGTCTTCATCATTTTATTTGTTATTAAATAAACTTACATTTCGCCGATTCGCCCTCTCATTTAAGTCCTGGGTTCACCCGTACTACTGCGTGCTCGTAAATCAGCACAGGATCAGCCGGCCGAAAGAAAGTTCTGTTCAGAGACGGTGCTATCACGCATGCGCAGTATCTCCAGCTCATCGGTTCTCCGTATCGAACGTGTCCGAAAGAAACAGTTCTCGGTTCTGCACTAGTGATTCAAGAGCTGCAACAACCAGTTCTCGACTCGAGAACCATATAGCATATAGGCCTGTGCTGAGCTGAAACCTGAATATACAGTCGACAAAACTAAAAAATCGATGCATGTCTGTCTCCAATATAGCCTGTAGCCTATAACAGTAGGCTATACATCATGTTTATAATGTGTTAACATAACGAATTAAACATATATGTTTAATTCGTTATGTTAACACATAAACATTTACTAAGCAGTGCACCAAACCTTGGCAAGAGTTTACATCAAAGATTTATAATATTGTTACTTAGAAATTAAATGAGCTGTTCCTGAAAATATTATTTTAGTATAATAATAAATGTTTAGTAGTTTGACAGTTTTAGAATCCAATCATTATTTCCAATCGTTAAAATAATACAGTGATACAGTAATGGGATAAACATGTTTCCAAAATGTTTTATTTTGTTACACTTACTGATGTTCAACTAAAGACGTGGAAACGTACATTTCGTCCCTCAGAAAAAAAATGCACGCATGCTCAGCTCATCAACTCATCAGTTCTCAATATGTCGAACGTGTCCGAAAGAAACAGTTCTTCTCGGTTCTGTACTGGTTATCCGACCGCTGTACCTGTACGTTCGGTAGTACACGCATGCGCAGTATCAGCTGCTCGTGCTCATCACTTCTCTCAGCACCAACATATGTCTCCGTTCAGTGAACTTTTGAGTTACTGGAATAAAATGTACTTCTGGATATTGGTTTATTTCGATTCGGAGGGACTGTCAGGCATGTCTGAAAGTGAGTAACTTTAGTAACTTGTGGTTTAGCGCTGACGCAAGACGCGAACTGTTTCGAACGATTCAGTCCGATTTAGTGTACTGGTTCGACCGGTTCACTAAAAAGAACCGGTTCAAAAGAACGATTCGTTCACGAACCGGCCATCACTAGTCTAGAGCCTGTAACGGGAGCCTGATCTGATCATGCTGTGCAAAAAGCCCAAATCGGGCTTTAAAAAAAGAAAGAGAGGAAAGAAAAAGATAGGAGGCAGACTGCGGGGAAGCAGCTGATGACTGCTTTATTCCCAAAAGGTGAACTGAGTTTGCTATATGCACCTAACGTTACATCCAATTAAAGTTAACGTAACTTAGTCAACTCCAGACAGCTGCTGCTAATGCAGGGTTCCAGACTGCGACCAAATTGGTCTCATATGCGACCATTTTTTTGAGAATTTGATTGTGCGACTTAACATTGTATGTGATGTGGTCGCGTCGCATATACGAGTGGACGCTCGCGCAAAAGAACACCGACCGTTGTATCAGCTGCTGCAGACTGCAGTCCGTAACTTATGTTCAAAACGAACGAGTAGGCTACATCATGAATCCATTTTCCAAACCGTGTTTTTGACTTATCCTGAATCTCTACGCCTGTTATAAGTGTTTATATTCGGACTATTTTTTTTTATCCCGGATTCCAGGGGTTGACTCGGATGCGAAGTTGCCCAGTGACTGCGTGACTCGCCATAGACATTATGGAGAGAAGTAGCTCCGGCAACAGTGTTCTTCCGCAAGACACATAGACGTCACGCGCGCATTGCACACTGATGGTGGAACACGCCAATTACGAATTCATGAATAAAAATATAAAAATTAAAATGTCTCAGGAAACAAATTATTACAAAATGCAGGAGGTAAGGAGTGTGAGATTTCTGAATTTTGAACTAACTTATAAAATTTGATAACGAAAAATCTGTTTTAGCTTGTTGTAATACTCTAATCTTTTAAAATGTAATGTACATTTGAATGTTTAATGATTTTTAAAAGATAGAAATATGATGCTAATAGAAAAATGACAGACACAGAAGATTATGATTCAAATGTAAATAGATAGATTGAATGTAATTCAAATGTAAAATTCTTAAAATTACAGATTAAAATTACTGTCCAAAATCCTGAAATTTGGCAATGATAATTAATATATTACAGGTATTTATGGTAAGCCTTTGCTGGCTTTGGTCCATTAAAACCACTATTCATCGGCATGCATTGATTAATCCCATGGCATGTAGCAAAAAAAATAAAAAATAACCGCGACGAAATCAAATGCTGATGCGACCAACTGAGAAAGTTGGCAGCATCAGTTTAACCTGGTTTCTGAGGGTACAGTTGTCTCTCGTGTTCTTGTGTTCTCCTATTTAAAAATAAATGTTTTTCATTTAAAACTTGCATCAGTATCATGGATCAAAATGTTAGTACACAAAACCGATGTAGCCTAAGGTTTAAAGGTATTTGAGCACAAGTAGGCCAAATGCATCAATTCAGGTGGTGAATGAAAGAACCAGTCATTACTATAATCTGATTTTATTATTTAAACACTGTTTATATTTGTTTATATTCAAATAATTAAAAAAATACATTTCATTCAAAATTGAATTTTCACTTTGCTAACCCGCATCGTAAAATGCCATGTGTAGGGGGCCCATTGACATTGAGAGTGTACAGGGCCCAGAATTTGGTGCTACGCCCCTGGTTCCCTTTCAAGGCTACAGAACTTCGACATTACGAATGTCGTTTATGGGAACTCAACTCCTCCTTTTCCACTTCTGCTGAAATCTTATAGGCTAACGCCAGCAGAGCTGGCCAATTGACGCAAATATGTAAATACTGAACACAGATGAGCGTCAATATCCATCAGAAGCTCTTTCTTCACGCTAAAATCGTGTGCTAGATGTAACCCCTCACACCCGGGTCCTACTCGCCCCGCTCCGAGCGGGCCTCGAACCCGGGTCTCCGGCGTGAGAGTCAGACGCTCTAGCAAGGAGGCTAAAGACTGCAGCCTCTAGCGTCTGTCGCTAGAGCGTCTATTGAGATCGGGGAGTGAGGTTTACTCGCACAGCAACTACTAGCTGGCCTCCGTTACACTCACCCCCCTAAACCTCACTCTCATCCGGGTCACGGCACCAATGTAACCCCTCACACCCGGGTCCTACTCGCCCCGCTCCGAGCGGGCCTCGAACCCGGGTCTCCGGCGTGAGAGTCAGACGCTCTAGCAAGGAGGCTAAAGACTGCAGCCTCTAGCGTCTGTCGCTAGAGCGTCTATTGAGATCGGGGAGTGAGGTTTACTCGCACAGCAACTACTAGCTGGCCTCCGTTACATAGACATATACTGTAAAAAATATGGACAAAGCGTCTGTGACGTCACCCATAGACTCTCTGAAGAACGGGTTTGAGGCTATTTATGGGGGATATGGGTGGCGCTGGCGCCATACTTAAAAATCTTGGAAAATACAAAAGTTTCAGAAAGGTTACAGAGGTGGTGTGATGTGTTGTGTCAGATCATGGCGAGACGTCAAATTTACTCGGCGCATCGCGTTATCAGCTGTCAATCAAAGTTAACCGCCCTTATTTACATACATTTTATATCTAAATATGATCTAAACTAACGAGTTAGAAAAAAATTCACCCCCCTCACAGTTGTCAGGCACCCAGAACATATTGAAGATTACAATAAAAGTCCATGGGACCAAACTGTAAACATATGAATTTATGCTGTGAAAACGGAGATTTTAATATGACGTCTATGGATATTTGCTCCCTTTTGGGACCGGGCTCTAGCAGATTTGAGATGTATTGCAGTTTTTCGCACTTCGGGGAAGGCTTCATCTTTCAGATTCTAGAATGTTGCCGCTTGGGTGCTAGAAAGCTGATACTTCATAACTCTAATAGGTATTTTTCGCCGTCGTCGAAGGTGTGCCGAAGGTTTTTCGTCGAAGGTGTGCCGAAGATACGTGATACTCTCTTCTGCATCCGATGGCGAACATTGGCAACTTGTGCTCGGGCCCCATACACCTGTTCTGTATCGCGTGCATGGGGCTGGCCCACGCCGAGTTCAGCCCTTGAGAGGAGCGCCCCCAACAAATCTCGCGAGAATCACGACATGCTTTACGGCAACGATGTCACACACATCCACATCCACAACAACATGAAGCACGAAGACACTTGCACGCATTTCAGACGTGATAAAAGCAAAGAAAACACGGTCGGAAGAGACTAGGAAGACTAGACTAGGCTTTTCCATAAATGGGGCTTTTCACTCATTGGCGCGAGCTAAAAAGCAGCACTGAATGCAACAGTGATGCTGACATGGCGATCTTGTTGATGGACTAGTAAGTACATATTTCTAAGTTTGTGTGCATTTTATTTTGTGATTTCACCGGAGTGAATAGAGAGAGTCCGCAACGGCGATAAATTGGCTTTATGCACAGCTGCACTACTTCCTGAACTTCAGCCAGCTCCTTGTTTCCTGTCTGCCATTATTGGACAAATTAATTAATTCAGGTGTGCCTGACCTCAGTAGTCACGGCAACAATAATCAGACACACCTGAATCAGAGCCGGCTTCAGACCGCTTTTAGCAGGGGGGCATTTATTTTCAATGGGTGGGCACTAGGTAGGTATGGGGACTTTTTTTCCGATATTAGATATCCTATATTTATTATTGCTACTGCCTTTTCTGTTAGCTATTAACATGAAGTAATGCAACCCACACAATAAAAAACACATAAAACATTACACATTGTTGCAAGACGAGCGACTCTTAAGAAATTTGATCAAGGGTTAAATAGGCCTATACAAAAAAAAAAAAAAAAATTGCAAGACCGACTCTGAACACAGCTTTATAATAGCAAAGCTAACGAACATGTACATAGTCTCTCACTGACAGAATAGCCGTTTATATGCTATCTCAATGGCGGAAGTGAGAAAAAAAAAGCTAAGTTACTCATCTTTATTCTGCTATGTTCTAACATAAGCATTTACATTCGTAGCCTTAAAAAAGCATCATGTAGTTACCTTTATCAAATAAAACCTTTAACACCTTTAACAAATAAAAAACACCCACAACATACACAGATATTATTCTACAATTTCCATTTACAAGAAAATATAGGCTTAAACACCTGTTTCTCCACGGCGGGAGTGAGTGACATTTCAGGACAATGGGCAGCGCAAAAAACTAGGCCAACCAAACTATTAGTTTCATCACGTGACAACACATAGTGAACAATACAGTACATGCCAGTTAGATAAATACACTTACGACTCGGACTCGACTGTCTTTGGTCTCGGTCTCGACTACAACACTGCACGGTAGAAGCACCAAATACCAAAGCCGGGCTGTCGTTGTCTAGCTGTATGGGGTAATCGATGTATAAGGAGAAACTGTGGTATTGAACCATTTTCTAATTTCCATTTTTGGAGAGTTTTCATCTGTTTGCTTTGTTTTGAATGCAGGAAGCTCGCGCGGTCGCGCCAACTGAAAATCATTTCATTCAAGTATTAACGTGCGTGATTGGGGGGGGGCGGCAGGGGGGTTTCCTCACAGCGTCACACTGGTTTTTATGTTGGCTTTATTGTATTTGCAGCTAATGAGCCGTTTGTAGACATATATTTGTACTATTTCTCACTGAAATGTGAATTAAATTAAACTGATATTATTTTGTAAATTATATCATAATTCAATTTGGGGGGGGCACAAAATACATTTGGGGGGGCATTGCCCCCTAATGCCCCCCCATAGCGCCGGCACTGACTTAATCAAGTTTGGCCAATAATGGCGGACAGGAAACAAGGAGCTGGCTTAAGTTCAGGAAGTAGTGCAGCTGTGCATAAAGCCAATTGAAGAGCGTGTCCGAGTGGAGACTATGCGCGTGCCGCCACATAGGGGGACCAGACGTCCCGAAATCTAAGCTGTTGTCCCGAATCTGGCCCCAATTGTCCCTAAAATTATATTAAAACAAAACCTTGAATAGTTATTGTCTGATAAAATATTAAAAACTGTCCTAGGAGGTTGAGTCGGCCCCCGCCAGCAGCTCATTTGCTGCAGCATCTTTTCTGTTTCTTTTTTTGAAGTTCTACAAAGATGTAGGCGTGAATTTAAATATACATTGATAAGCAAATTTTCATTAATTCGTTTCGTTGACATGGCTGGTGTCCTGGAACCACAACACCATTTTTTAGTGGCAGACTAAAGATTAATGAGAGACTGTTGATCTTTGAAAAAAAAAAATGTTTGGTTCAGGTTTGAAATCATTATCGTTTATTATAGGCTATGTAGTCTAATATCATAGGCCTACCCATAAACACCCCCTAAATCTCTTATTTAAAGGCACACTATGCAAGATTTGTACCTTAATGCAACAGCTTCAAAAGGGTGTCAGGCCGTGAGTGCAGAGACGCTCTGAGTGAGTGGTATTTGCGTAAGTAACGTTAAATTCAATTTGACAAAAATGGAATTCCTGCATAGTGTGCCTTTAATAAAAAAAAGTGCAATTTAAATGCAAGAAAAAATTGAACATTATTTTTGTTAAATGCATTCATAAAATCTATAAATCTGTAATTATTTGGTTCTCTCTTATTTTATTAATACATTAATTTACACCAAATTAAGATCTTAACCTTATTCAAGGGGAAGCTTTGCCCAGATGGGCTCGTTTTGTTCAAAGTAGAATTTTAGTCCCAGTCCAGCCCTGTCTACGCTCTTAAAAATAAAGGTTCTTTGGCATCAATGGTTCCATGAAGAACATTTAACATCCATGGAATCTTTCCATTTCACAAAAGGTTCTTTATAATGGAAAAATGTTTTCACAATGTTCTTCTAAAAATGTTCTTCTCTCAGGTTTCCTTAAATCTGGCCCCGGAGATCCACTGCCCTGCAGAGTTTAGATCAAACCCAAATCAAACACACCTAAGCAAGCAAATCAAGGTTTCCAGAGTTACTAAAAAATCCAGGTATATGAGTTTGATCCGGGTTGGAGATAAACTCTGAAGGACATTGGCCCTCCAGGGCCGGATTTGAGGAGCCCTGTTCAGCATGACTGCGAAACCCCCCTTTTGAAAGCTTTATTTTTAAGAGTGTAAGCATAACTATACCATGAGATTAAATGTGCATATGTATTCACAGAGAACATGTAAATCTTCTCCTGCTCTGTAATTCAAGGGTTGATCAACGTCTCATGACTCCTGCGTACACCACAGCATCACTCTCTACAGCACTCTGTCTCTGAAAGAAAACACAAATACATGTTCATTTATTTATCATGGTATTTTCACATTTTGGGGAGATAAAAGCATATCTGGTGACATATAAGAGTTTGTGACAATAATGTAATGGGGAGAGCAAGAAAAAAAACATGCTCAATAAACACATATTTATTTTTAACCCCCCAAAAAACAGTAAAACAATACAATAATATTTGATTGCCTTTATTTCATTGTAAACAGCTAGAATAAACAGCCACTTCGCGTCGCATCTTCGTTAGGCTATAGGATCATGAAATGTGGACCACTTTTGCACTGTTAAAATATTATCTTCAACCTTAAAGTTTTTTTTCCTTTTTTCAAAACACATTCTGTCAATGAGAATGATTTTTAAAAAAGTAGTTAAAATTTGCATTTATACTTCATTTAAAATACGGGATTACCAATTGGTTTTGATTAGGGTGGAAAAAACTATACGAGTGTGGATTAGAACCTCGAACCTACCGAGTCCCGACACGCTAGGCAAAGGTTCTACCTGTGGACCATCACTGTACACATGAAAATAGGGCGTATACTTTATATACTCACTATATTCAGACATTGTGCTCATTTTTATTTATGAGCAACGCTCCCCCTGCCCCCCCCCCCCCCCCCCCAGAAACTCCGCGCCTGCACTCTAAAAAATGCTGGGTTGTTTTAACCCAATTTTGGGTCAAATATGGACAAACCCGAAATGTTGGGTTAAAAATGTAATGTAAAAATTTAACCCAACGGCTGGGTTAGTCCATATTTGACCCAAAGTTGGGTTAAAACAACCCAGCATTTTTTAGAGTGTGATGTCAGCAACTCCTAGCAAATGTTAGCTAGGGTTAAAATGTTTTACACAGTGGGGTTAGTTGTAACAGTGTTCATTGTGATATCAAGCTCGTTTTTATTATTATCACTTTATAAAATTAATTATAAAATTTTTGCATGCAGCTGCCACTCACAAAATGATGTTTTATTAACAAAGTTCGGGAGAAGCACGTTCAGATACACAGGTGGAGAGCACTCAGCAATCATGATTAAAGCACGTATATATAGACTCAGTAATCTCACCTCATTTCTCTGAGAGTTTAGCAGCATCCCTCCTCCACTCCTTCTCCACTCTTCTAGTCCTAAACCACTTTACATACAGGGGCGAGTACTCTGGGTTCGGGCCGAATTCCGAGCTCGGAGCCCTCCCCCCAAATACGCACGCCAGCACGCCAAATACGCATTATACTTTATTCCCTTTAATTGTATGTAAGTGTGAACTCGTGAATGTAATTTAATCGCAATTACAATATTTCATATTTGCACATCTGTGCAGCCCTTTCCTATTTCTATCCATGATATTGATCCATAATAGAAGGATGATTGGATGAGGGATGGATGTATGGATATCTATCTATACAGATAATATAGGACTGAATTCTGTTAGTTACAAATAACCCCTTTGTCTTTTGACTGTTAACCCCACATATGGGGTAAGTTGTAACATTTGCACTTCTGTCACTTTCAGTGCATCTGTATGGTAGGTCCTAGAAAAAAAAAATTAATTGTTCATTTGCAGAGATGTGTATGTTGCTTGTATTAAAAAAAGATGAATCTAACTAAAAAAATTTTTAATAATTGAGCCAAAACCAAAATGTGTTGGGTTTGTGCCCCGCTCTACCATGTCACTGAACATTTATTTAACAATAACAAAAGTAAAATTATTGTTTAAGTTATTTATCTCATCTCTGTTTTTGTGTTTATTTCATATTAGACAAATCTGATATTATTTTAAACGTATAGCCTATGTTTTTTTTAACAGTTGATATAGTTATTTTAATCCTGATCTAATCAGCAGAATACATAACCTGTGTAACACTGTGTTAAAACTTGCTAATAAAGCTCTTAGCATACTAGAAACTTCCAGACTGTGTTGAGGCAAGCTGGGGCTAAACTCTCCAGGACCGACTTTGGACACCCCTGTCATACAGTTACACATGCTATTTGTCTCCTGTTCTGAGATGCTGTGTGTGGAAGGAGGGGAATGTTTCTATTTGCCTGCATTGTTTTGACATAATGCTGTATAGATGTGTTTTGCAATGTGTTCATTGTCATGTTCCAAAATATTTTTTTTTTATTTCTTAAGAAATGCTATTATTTTATATAAAAAAAAAATAATAATCGTCTTTTATTGACAAAATATTTTAGTTTGAGTTGGATAATTGTTTGATTAGATCAGATAACATTTTAAGCTGTCATAATGTGGACAGTAACACCCTGCCCCTTACATGTTACACATTTCAATTCCATTATTTTGGCATAAATAATGAAAGAAGTACAAGACAACACATTTGTACCAGACATGTGTGAAATTAATTTTGAAAAAAAAAAAAATAAAAAATAATATATATATATATATATATATATATATATATATATAGAGAGAGAGAGAGAGAGAGAGAGAGAGAGAGAGAGAGAGAGAGAGAGAGAGAGAGAGAGAGAGAGAGAGAGAGAGAGAGAGAGAGAGAGAGAGAGAGTACTCTGAACCCTAAGTAGATTTACACAAATGGAGAAAGTCAAAAAAGCGTTATAGGTTGTGCCCCGCTCTCCCCTAAATCTAAATCTAAATCTAAATCTAAATCTAAATCTGTGACTACAAAATACACAAATCAGAGCAGAAGACAAAGGGACACTAAAATAAATCTAATGCTTTTATATCTGTATAGACTCGCTGCTACAATAATTCAGACACACCATACATAGAAATAAATTCTCTTACCGATTTATGTCTTTTGTAGAATGTCGGATCAGCGTAAGTGATCTCTCTATCCTGGGTCTGGACTGTTTCAGAAACAAAACACTCAATGAAATGATGTTTGAGCACTGCTTTACATTATTTTGATATATATATATATATATATACTTGCCTTCTCTGTCTGTTTTTCTGTGTTTCTTGCAGATGCAGAAGATCCCGACAGCAGCAGCGACTATCATCAGAGATCCAGCAACAGCAGAAGAGATCAACACTATCAGTGACACTGAGACTGAACCTGAAGGAGAGAGTCATTAGTGTGAGTGCATGTGTACATAAACACAAATGCAGATATCATAGCAGATGTATCACGTACCTGAACATGGCCCACAGAGTTCAGTGTTGAGATGTGTGGTCTGGTTGCTGATGGTATTGTTGAGCACACAGCTGTACGCATCATCCAGACACTCCAGATGCAATGAAAGGTTTCTGCTGAGATCAGACAGACTGATGCTGGACAATACACTGACTCCTTTATACCAGGAGAGAGTTGCATCACTCTCATTCAACACTGAACACACCAATGAACAGTTTGATGAAGATGAAGATGATGATGATTGTTTTGAAGAATGGTTGATGACAGGAACAGGCAGGCGAGCTTAAAAACAGAATAAATATAATTCAGTATAGATTATAGATCGCTGTGATATTTGTCAGTTCATTACATTTCAAATTGAATGAATGTAGCAGAGAAACAAATGGTATAAAATGTATATTATTCAAATATGTAATTATAAGAGTGCATAAATGCACAAATATTTTTTTTTTCATCACACAATTGTCTTTATATAATTTTATTATATTCTCAGTAATCGTGAATAATATTAACTTTTAAAAGACCAACCTGCACGTGCACACACAAACATACACTGCTGTTCAAAAGTTTGGGATCGGTGCGATTTTTAATAATAATAATAATTTTTAAGAAGCTTTTAAATGTCTCTTATGCTCACCAAGGCTTCATTTAGCTTATTTGATTAAAAAAAAAAAAAAAAAAAAAACATAATTGCAATTTAAAATAACAGTTTTCTATTTTTGTAACATTATACAAAACTGTTCAAAAGTTTGGGGTCAACAGTAAAGACATTTATAATGTGTCCCCCGTTTCCATTGAGACGCGTCATGCTTGGCACATGATCCCTCACAGCCAAATCTCCAAAATTGCGCTGTAGGCCAGATTTAGCGGTTTTATTTCTTTTCTTTTATTGCTTAGTGCTTATGATATCATGAACTATCTTGTATTCCGATTCTCAAATATGTGTAAGTGAGTTTGTTTTGTCGTTTAAAAAAAAACTTTATAAATTATCTTAATCTGTATAGGCTAGGCCTAGCATAGGCTACGTGGCTGTGTTTGGGCCGGAGTTCAGAGATTTTGTCTGTTGGATTTTTTTTTTTTTTTTTTTTTTTACAGCGCGTGAATTCATCAGTTTCTCCCGAAATAGGCTACATGAAAGTAAGTGGCCGGTGAACTGGGAGAAAAATAGAGTTGACTTTATAGTTATTTGCAATCTGTCTCTGATTGAAAGAAAAAGCGTATTTGAATGGGTTATTGCTGCTTCTATAGACATTGTGTATTTTACAAACTATGTATTGTTTTGCTGTAAATTATGTGTAGCCTATTTAAATGCCTGAAACCTAAAATAAACATTATTAAAAACACTGAACAGTTGTTGTAGCCATATGATAATGGCTGAGCACGTCCGTATTTGGCTCAGCGCCAGCCATAGAGCCACTTTGAATCTGGCAGTTATATAACGTCACTGTACATTCCTAGTGCTCAGCTGCAGCAGAGCGTGTCAAAATCGAAATTGCTGATGAGGTTTGAGAAATTTATCTAGTGGAAAATGACAATATTACGTAAATACCTGTCTAGGGTTGGTAGATATCGCCCAACACTATTTGATCACAGGAATAAATTACATTTAAAAATTCAAATGGAAAACGGTTGTTTTAAATTGTCATAATATTGACTATTTACCTATAGCCTATATTTTTTTATGTAATAGGCCTAAGAGATTTCTTTTCAAAATCATAAAAAAGCCTATACCAATCCCTAATATTTGAATAGCAGTGTAATATATATATATATATATATATATATAAATATTTATAGGCCTATATATATTTATATAAACATGGTAGTAATTCTCTACTCACCATAGATGGTAAGATTGAATGTGTTAAGCGGTGTCTCTGATTTGTCAATAGTTACTTTATAAAGTCCAGAGTCTGTGGTTCTGGTGTTTGTGATGGTCAGAGATCCAGTCTTTTCATCCAGTGTCAGTCTGTCTTTGAATCTCTCAAGAACATCTGTCTTAAAGTTATTTCCTTTGATTTTAGCTATGAGACTGTCGTTGAGTCCAGTTCTCCACATTATCAGTTCATCTTTCTGTTTTTCAGTATCAGTGTTTAGAGTGACAGATTCTCCCTCAGTCACTGACACTGACTTCACGGCATCAACACCAAACACTCCTGAACAACAAACAGAAATATTTACTCAAAAAAGCTTTATTATTATTATTATTATTTATTTATTTATTTTAATTCTTCTCTCTGCACTAATTTCAATGTTTAGCCTACTCATTGAAAAGTGAGTATTTTAGTAAATTAGTTTGATACAACTGGAAAATATATGAGGCAAAATGAATTATAAATAAATGAATTAATAAATAACATATGTTTGTCAACAAATGAAAATATAAGTGAAGACAAAAACAAAAACAAAAAAAAACTTACCGGCCACACTCCAGCACAAAAAGATGAAAATAAACATTTTCTTCAACAGTTCGCAACACAGCGAATGAAGCTGCTGGACTGTAGAGAAGTTGTTTAATGGAACTGTCAGTGTGAAGAAACTCCTCCCTTCAGAAAGTGTACATGACTTCTCACAATGACACTGTATGATCTACAATAAGAATAATATGTAGAACAAAGAACTCATCAAAAAACACGATATTATTATACATATTATATTATAAATAATTCATTTTGCTTTTGAAATATAATCCATAGTGCTTTTATGTTGTTGGAAAAGTGCACGGAGACATTTAAGCTTCCCATTTGATGAAAACTGATTTTCAGAAATAGAGTTTGTGTGGAATAGCATTTGCTGTGTTTCTGCTGTTGCTTTGTTTTGAGCTAATTTCATTGAAGGAGCAAAAACAGACAATTTGTTTCTACAAAGTTTGATTTAAGCTACTTTTTACTTATCAATCTGTTATAAAATCAAAATCATGTCACATTTACAATCATGCTGATAATCAGAGAAAACTAGTGCTTCATATTGTTTAACTACATAGTATAAATAAAATCAGGAACTCGTTATTGGAGGATTTTTGCCCCCCATAACAATAAAGAAACAAATGAAAGAATGAAATAATAGATTAATTAAATTTTAAGAAAGAAATAATGTAAAATTATTTAAAAGTCGTCAGGACATAAATCAGTATTAACTGTTCTTAAACTTGAATTCTTTCTGGAAAAGGTCCGTCTGTGGGCGGTGCTACTGGAGGAGTTTATCCTCACTGACTGCAGTTTCACTGAACCACTTTACAACAGACCGGCAACACGTTTGACTTTTTCAAGAGTATCAGGACTGATTATTATAATATTTCTGTTGTGTGAAACCACTTAGAGAACTGAAGAAAATGTTTGATTTGTTTATTTTCTTCTGTTTGTTCTCCTGCAGTCTGGCTGGTAAGTATTTTTATGCCTTTAGTTCTCTTTATTGTTTGTTTGCCTGCACAATTTATTCTTAAATTAAATGTTTTCATACAGCATATTTAATATAATATATAATTTAATTTTTTTAAATTTATCAGAATAAACACTACTTGTGCAGAAAATTGTTTCAAAATGAAAAAAAGAAAATCTGTGAAATCAAATTGTGAGTGAATATTTCTGTGTGTTGTTCAGGAGTGTTTGGTGTTGATGCCGTGAAGTCAGTGTCAGTGACTGAGGGAGAATCTGTCACTCTAAACCCTGATACTGAAATACAGACAGGTGAACTGATAATGTGGAGAACTGTACACGACGACAGTCTCATAGCTAAAATCAATGAAAAGGACAAGAAGACAGATTTTCTTGAGAGATTCAGAGACAGACTGACACTGGATGAGAAGACTGGATCTCTGACCATCATGAACACCAGAACCACAGACTCTGGACTTTATAAAGTTATCAACACCAGATCAGACACGCCGTTCAACACATTCAATCTTACTGTCTATGGTGAGTAGAGAATTACTACCATGTTTATACATACTGTAGACTTAGTGTGTGTTTGTGTGTGTTATGAATGTTGTATTATATTAATATTATTATATTTTATTTTAATTTATACATAGAAGACTGCGCTGTTTTACATTTAATTACTTAATTCAGTTTCTGTATATTTCCTACCTGAATATTACTGTTGAATGAATCTATCTAGCACTGGTATTATTAGTGTGATAAATAACAAAAACAATATGATACTGCAATGTTGAATGGCTATAATTAATGGCTTAAAATTAGGCAAAAATAAATAAGTAAATAAATATATTCAGTAGGCCTATCAGTATTGGTAGTGATGATACTGGCCTTCCTTCATAATAGGCCTACATAGCAAAAATGTGCCATTAAACACTTTTTTTTAAAGTTACATTGTTTAATTAATTTGGAGATTTAATGTGAAATGATCATAATATAGAAATATATAATGAAAAAAAGTATGTTAAGTAAGTAATTTTTCTCGTGATCACAACTTATTTTTCTCGTGATCTCAAGATAACAAAAGTTGTTTTTTCAGGACGTAACCTAACTGTATCACAAGGAAATCTCATGCCTTTTAGTGTTGTCACGTACAAATTTTTTTAAACATCTCGGTACCAAGTCCCGGTGGTACCGAGTACCCGGTCAAACCCGGTTCTGGATGCACATGCATGCACGAAGGGTGTGAAGTTGCATCCTCTTGAAAGCGCTGAGAAATGGTGACCGGCGGCGCTGTTGATGTGGTGTCTGTGTAAATTAAACTGCAAAAAGACTGTAGTTTGTAAAAAATAATCGTAATTTTAAGTGTAAAAGACTGTAAAAATGCTACAGTGCAAAACTGTTAATTGGTTAACTGAAAAAGAACAACTCCTTGTATAATTTATAGTGGAAAAAAAACGTAAATTCACATTCCCACAATTCCCTGCGTCACACTTCACATTTGATGTATTTTTGTTGATGTATTTTTGATGTATTTGATGTATTTTCCTCATAGTTTTCTTTTTTTCAGTTATGTACATTAGGGTTTTATGTTACAATTTAATGTTATGTTACATTTTTTAATTTCACGTGTGTTACCATGATGGTGTTTATTGTTTGTGTGAATTACACTGTGCAGCTTTTTTTATAGAAGTATTAATCTTATAATGGAAGACAACTTCTGATGAGTTTTGATTGCTAATCTAACTCTCATCACTACTGTGATGATTGATGGTTATCAATGTATTACAATGATACAAAACAGAGATCAATTTTTCAAAAGGTTACTATATCAACAGATTTCTGAATGTGGTTTATTACAGTAAATTTTAAATTAAGTTTGTAAAACCATTTACGTTCACTGTAAAAAAGAAAAAAAAAGAAAAAAAAACTTTAAATTTACGGGAAAAACTGGCAGATGTGATTACCTGAGTTTTCCTGTTAAAAAAACGGTATAGCAACATTTTAGGTTTTACAGACTTTTAACCGTATTTAATTTTACAGCAATAAACCGTATTTCATTATCTGATATAATGTTAATTTACTGACCTTTTGAAGTACTAATATCTGTTTTGTTCAATTGTAATACACTGACAGACAACAACCACAGCCGTAATGAGAATCAAATGATCAATCAAAGCTCATCATAATCAACTCTTTCGCAAGAAAAGTTCATACTATTATATAGAAGCTGCACAGTGTCATTCACACAACACCATCATGGTAACATGTTGAAATGTAAAAAATTCAATAAGTGTTAATTTAACAACATTAAATGTAAAATAAAACCCTAATGTAGCCTACATAACTGATTACAAAAAAAAATAAGAAAATTATTAAGGAACAGTTAAAATACATAAAATGTGAAGTGTCACGCAGGGAATTGTGGGAATGTCAATTTATATTTTTTCACTGTAAATTATACAATGACTTGTTTTTGTTTTTTACTTCCAAAAACTGTACATTTTATTTAAATACTTAACTGTATTTTACAGTAAAATTACATTAAATGTACCATTATATATATCACAGTTATTTACCGTATAGTACTTAGAAACTTTCTGTTAACCAATTAACAGTTTTCACTGTAGCATTTTTACAGTCTTTTACTGTTAAAATCACGATCATTTTTTACAGTGTATAGATAGGTTCGCTGCTAAAATAATTTCACTTACTACTTTTTTATATCTCTCCTCAATATTCAATTCCATCTTCATATTTTTTTTAATTTTTCTTCACATAACACACAAAACTCCTCCCATCTTGCCTGTCTAAATGCCCACCTTGCACACTGGTTAAATCTTTGCTTTTGTACTGCACTCTGAATCTCACAGACTATTGGCCAGTGATCACTGCCCAAATTATCCTCTTGCACGCTCAAAGTGCACTTACCTACTAATGCAGCCTATGTTATTGTGAGATCCAAACATGACAAGCCGCCTTTAACTGTATCCATTCTTGTTAATTTCCCATCATCCAAACATACTAATGTGTGTTCTTCTATAAATTCTTCTACAACTAACCCATTATTGTCTGTACTCTTACTACCCCATAAACCATTATGGGCATTAAAATCCCCACATATAATAACTTTACCCTGTGACTCATCACATCGTCTAGAATACTATTATTTATTTCTTTGCATGGATTATAAAAGTTTGAAATTCTAATTCCATCATACCTCCCCATTACTTTTATATTTACACATTCTACTATTACTTGTATTTATTCTCTTATATATGATATCTTCTTTGATAAATGCTGCACACCCTACCCCTCTTCCAGTTACTCTGTCTGTCCTCTCTACTACATATCCATTTATCTTAAAGTCCAAAGAATTGTTTAATCATGTCTCTAGAATTTATATGATGTTTGGTGCCTTTTCCGTTTCTGATATGTTTTTTTTTTAATTCTTGACCATTTGCTATTAAACTCCTAGCATTCCAATGTAGTCGTAAAGACATCGTACAGCTAAGGATAATTTTGAGTCCTATCCATGGCAGCAGTTCCTTCCTCCGCTTCCAAAATTCCATGCATTTAGATTTAGATTTACCATTTAACATTTAGGTGTAACATTTAATATTTAGATTTAACTATTTTAAATATCTCTAAGTTGACAAATATAGATATTTTGCGCTGAAAAGGGACTGTCAACATTTTTTAAACATATTTGAAGCTAAATGTGACAAAATGCTGCTGTTATTTTCAGCGTGAGCCGTTTACAAACGGCTCCCCATACTAAACAGGTTTTGTCTACTTTTTTGGTAACACTTTACAATAAGGTTCGTTAGTTAACATTAGTTAATATGAACTAATAATGAATAGCACATATACAGCATTTGTTAATCTTTGTTAATGTTATTTTCAACATTTACTAATACTTGATTAAAATCTTGTTAACATTAGTTAATGCACCGTGAACTAACATGAACAAACAATGAACAGCTGTATTTTCATGAGCTAACATTAACAAAGATGAACAAATGCAGTAACAAATGTATTGCTCATGGTTAATGCATGTTAGTAAATACATAAACTAATGTTAACTAATGAACCTTATTGTAAAGTGTTACCACTTGTGTTTCTATGTCATATGAATAATATGTTAGCCTGGCTGCGCCCTCCTACGCACTTCCGCTCAATTTCACTTTCCTTCAGTACCACTTCCTCTATACAAATGAAATGTACTAGAGTCTGGTTGAACCAGGCTAATAATATGTGCCCCATACATGGAATCAGAGTGCCTACTGTACGTAGTAAATGGAAAATCTCTACAGCAAAAAGCCAAGCACTACATGTATTCGGTTTGTTTCTATTGTGCAATATAGCATACAGAAGGTGATGGACATTTTTTGGGGGGAAAGAAGTGCTGCATTTTATCAAACATGTGACTTTTCAATAATCCATGATTACCACCACCATATGACGTCATAATATATAAATTAGATGGGAAAATGTAATCCCTTCATAAACTTTTGCTCATCCTTAATATTTCTCTAATTTACATAAAATGTCTATCTTTTATAACTTTAAAGATATAGCCTTTTGAAATTAAGAAGTTAAAATCAAATGTTTTAGGAAGGGTTAACAACACATTTCATTATTCTGTTTAACTCGTTGCTCTTATTTTGAGAAGGGTCTGACTGCAGAGCCGCAGTTTCACCCCAGCAGTTTCACCCTGCGCATGCGCTGTTTCAATATAGCAGTTTTATCCGTGCGTTTTGAATAAGTTATGAAATTGTCTTCGCTGCAGTCAGTTCAGCAGTATAATGAGGACAAATGATTCTTTTACATATATTCATGTTGCAGCAAACTTGCTATGACAGTAGCACCAGGCCGTTGGATCAAAATGAAAAAAACAAGGTAAGGGTATTTTGTTGTCTTGTTTTCGGAACACTTTAGTGTCCTGATTGATTTCTTTGTTTTTCGAAATGCAATTTGCCATTTCAGCATATCTCCCATCAACTCGACATGACATCCTGTGGGGTCTTCATGATTATATGGTAAGTTACGGCCCAGATAGCATGGTAACATTAATTCAATGTTGAGTTTTTATCCAAACCATCATTTTGGTTGAGAGACATTGAAATGTTGATGAAAACCAACAGCACACATGGGTGGAGACGGTGACATTGAACTAACAGTGATTTGTAGTTGATGAGCACAAGATCATTCAGGCGTGTGTCTCTGCAGAACACTAGTGGGCGTTTCTCAGTCAGTGGGGCGTGTAAACCACAATGGGCATTTTCAACCGCTTTACCCGATTTGCTCTAATCCACTGGGGGCTTGGTTTAGGGGTGGGCCTTCATGATTTTAGCATGTCTGTTAAAAAATGGTTGAAAAACATTTATTGTAGTTTGAAATTGGCCACTGATTGGTAAACACCCATTTTTGTTTTGCATGTGCACTGCTCAATAGTCTAATGCTTCCTCGTTAGAGAGAAAACAGGTGCGTCCAATACAGACCTCTTGTTTGTTGAATCACCTGACATAAATGATTTCTCTAGGACAGTTTCAAACAATGGCGCATCTATCTCAACGCATTCTCACCCCAAGGCGTCACCTTTGACCATGCTTCAATATTTGACGTTTTAGGCGCCCTTTAGCGTCACTTACATGACGCGATCCTACGGCGTCATCTAACTGACGCTAAAGGAAAGCGTCAGTTAGAGGACGCGGTTAGGTTTAGGTGTGGGGTGGGGGTAGGGTACACGCGATCCTAGGGCGTCATCTAACTGACGCTAAAGGGCGCCTAAAGCGTCAGATATTGAAGCATGTCCAAATGCTTCCCAAGGCGTCAGTTAGGTGACGCCTTGGGAGTGAGAATGGGCTGTCTATCTTATTTCTCTTTTTTGTGTGCTTATTTGTGTTTTATTTGTGTTGTTACCGTAATTAGATACATTAAAAAGTTATTTTGTTTGAATAAACCAAATATTTTTCTACAATCTCAAATTATGCATCTTGCTTTAGTAAAGTTTATAAAGACTTTCCTGAATAAAGTTCTAACATCATTTAACAAATTTCTTCAAGTGTAGGACACATGAACAAGAGCAAGAATGTTACACTACAAACACAGCCCATGTCTTGCATCTGTCAGTGCTTGCATGTAGAGCACATTGCTCCTTTAGTAGGAGTGAAGGCAGATGAAGATGGACAATAAAAAATTTTAAAAAGAGAAGCACCCTCCTGATAATGCTGACATTGATTATACATTGAGTTGTTGTCGACAGCATAATCACATGACCTGGGACTTATCACTGCTTAAACAGGTAATCATTCATATTCCTGAATCTCTATTAAATTTGAAAAATATATCTGATTTCCATTCAGTTAAACTGGTTTCCACTGAAACACAATAACAAAAAAACATCTTGTGTTTATTAAGAAAGTGACTGGCATCTATTTTGTCATATTTAAAGAAAATAAGGTGAATCTGCAGCTTTAAAGGGATAGTTCAGCATGAAATGAAAATGATGTCATCATTTATTAACCCGCAATTGCCCAAACCTTTCTTTGCTGAAGGGTGTTGGTAACCAGACGTGATGGTTGATGGTAGCCATTGCTTTCATATTTTTTTCCTACTATGGAAATCAATGGCTGCCGTCAACTTTCTGGTTACCAACATTCTTTAAAGGGCACCTATTATGCCCCTTTTTACAATATGTAATATTGGTCCCGGGTGTCCCCAGAATGTATTTGTGAAATTTCAGCTCAAAATACTCCATAGTTAATTTATTATAACCATTTGAAAATTTCATTTTGGGACCTGATTAAAAATGAGCTGTTATGGGTGTATGCCCCCTTAAATGCAAATGAGCTGCATATCCCCGCCCTGCCTTTGGATGAGGGCGACGCAGTCGGTAAGCAGAAGGGGAGAGTGAGAGACGCGCTGGTTTGAATTTCATTCAGCGTACGTTTGAATCGGAATATATAAATAGTACGAAGAGACTCCGGCAGAATAAACACATGAGAATGGACCAGTACGTCTCGGTATGGTTATTTGATACATTTATATACTTATAGAGTTGTAATCGCGTCTTTTTGCAAGTATGGATGTGCAACACACACAGACACACACAAACACTAATACTGGCACATTTTTTTTTTAAACTACATACACATTCTGTGATCAAGTTTGCCTGTGGCGTCATGTTTAGCTTGTCATACAGATGCTTCTGTGGCAAATGTGAGAAGATGTTTAACTTACAGAACAAGAACATATATGCAGTTTTTAATACAATATATTTAAAAATATATTTATAAACATGTGGTTACACACTATACAAACAATGTTTAAATTATATACACAGACATCCTACGACGACAACAACTTTAGACGCATAATTTGTTGTTGAATTGTCTGACAGACTGAAATGACTATTTGCTCAAAAATCATAAAATACACTTAGGCCTACTGTTACTGGAGGTGACGGTGGATCGCAAACAGTAGACGACGATCCACACTTGAGGATTAATTTTTAAGCCACAACAACAGGATTAACCCACGAGTCCACGACATAACACTTATGTTTCCAAGAGACATTGAGACATAGGGCCTACACTAAAATCCGCGTACTTACAGAGTTTACCACACGTTTATTGCACAGTAGCCTATGTGGTATGAAGGTTTGAGCCGCGATGCTAACTAATCTAACGTTAATGAACTAACGTTAAAGAATTAATGAAAGAAAATCATTGACTTATTGTCTTAGATTGATTTAGTCATTCACTTACATGTATTCTGTACAACTGTCTTCAAATTGCTGATATAAATTATTAATAAATAATTTCTGCTGTTGACTGTCGTCATTGGCATTATGAATAACAAGTGGATAGGCGTTTAGGTCTGTTTTTGTTTATTTACTACAGGTGCCCTGATTCTTTCAAATACCATTTAAAGCCCTTTACTGGCCAATAATTATTATGTTGTGAATGGATATAATCAGCTTTGTTCTTTTGTTTCCTCAGAAGAACCACTGCATTTCTAAAATCATCTGAACATTTTAGAGGCTACATTGAATTACAGTAAGTTACATGCATAACATTCAAGTAGCCTACTTTATTACTATGAACTTTTCTGTGTGAATTTGTTTTGTTTGACTGTGTACTTGTGTTTTTTAATCAGTTATTCTCTGAAAATATTCCTTCATGCTCTCAAATCTCATTCACGTTACTCAGAAAAATTACATCACAGATTTGGTGCCAATTATGCTATATGCATTTTTTCTTATACCTTAATCATTTGCATTTGAATATAAAAAAATTGAACTCTGAATTATAACTTAAAGTGTAGTCTTTTTAGACAAAAAAAGGCTATTATATGGCTTCAGAAGACAACACAACTCGTAACAGATGAGTTGTGGACCAATTTTTTCAATTTAATTTTTCATATTTTTTGGATCTTTTCTGTGACATTTTTGGAGATTAACACAATATTTAACCATTTTTACATAATTTGTTACATTGAATTGAACTAAACAAGTGTACATAAGAATGGTTTCATGAATGATTTACACTGTTTTGTTCTGCTTGTCTTCTGCAGTGAAACTGAATGATGACTGGGGTTGCATTACGCCTGAGATCTGCTTTTGGGTTCCACAGACAGAAAGTCAAACAGGTTAGGAAGGTCGCAAGGCTGAGGAAATTATTTTAAGTTCACAACTATCACTTTAATAACACTACTGACAGTAATGTTGATTCTTTGCAGGCACCTCGGTAAGCTGACATACAAGTTTGAACAAGAAAAAAAAATCCCCCTGTAGACCTGAAAATCATTGAAGTGCCTGGACCATCCACCAGTAAAGATGAAAAACGTAAAATTGTACTTTTCTAACTCGTTAACCTCACTTGTCCCTTGTGAAGATTTTATTAATGATAGCATTTTATGTTGCAGCAAGTAGGTGCGGTCACATTTGTGAAATTAGTGAAATTACACTGGCAAAAATGTCCATTGACACAACTTAACTTAATTTTTTTTTAAATTAATGTGATGTGTTTCCATGCATTTTGTTGAGATGTCTTTTCTTGTATAACCTATTGTATATACAGTACATTGTTGATTATTCATGTTGCTTATGTACTATACTATTTGTTTGTGTATTCTATTCTTTGATATTAATCTATTGCTTCTTTTCCCAAGTGCATGAAAGTGTATGTATTAAAATGGATCTAAAATATGTAATAAACAATTCTTACCTTGTATTTGGTTCAGTTTGTTTATAATAATAGAAGTTAATGCTAACCATAGTAACAACATGAAATAATAATAAATAAATAAATAAATAAAAATTGGTTCCTGGAAGCACCCAAAGCGGTTCCACACAGTGTTTAATGTAAGAGTTCCTCAGGAAACCTGGGTGGTTCCTCAGAGAACTGGCCCTTTTTTAAAGGATTCCTAGAGGATCTACAGACGGTTCCGCCAGCGTGGCAAAGTGAAGAACCCCAAAAGGTTCCTCCAGGCACCTTTTCTTTTTACAGTGTGGGGTGAAACTCTGTCTCTGCAGACTAATAAGCAAAAATAATTGGTAACAATAACAATTAGATCGTTTTAATTCTGAACAATATACGCGGGTAAAACTGCTATATTGAAACTGAGAATGCGCGGGTAAAACTGTTAAAACTGTTGTGGTGAAACTGCGCATGCGCAGGGTAAAACTGCTGGGGTGGAACTTATTTTTCCAACGCATTCTCACCCCAAGGCGTCACCTTTGACCATGCTTCAATATTTGACGTTTTAGGCGCCCTTTAGCGTCACTTACATGACGCGATCCTACGGCGTCAACTAACTGACGCTAAAGGAAAGCGTCAGTTAGAGGACGCGGTTAGGTTTAGGTGTGGGGTGGGGGTAGGGTACACGCGATCCTAGGGCGTCATCTAACTGAAGCCAAAGGGCGCCTAAAGCGTCAGATATTGAAGCATGTCCAAATGCTTCCCAAGGCGTCAGTTAGGTGACGCCTTGGGGGTGAGAATGGGCTGATTTTTCACGTTCATTCAGTTACCATGTTGCCGGGTCTCACGCAGACTGTTCTTTTTTATGCTGATCCCACATCACAAATTCGCCAGTCCGAGCATTAGTCAGAGGTTATGGTTAATAGCCTTTACCCACATACTGTAGCAACATTGTTTCGGCCCAGATCCGGCCCACATCTGGCACTTGTGGCATGCAGATCTGGCCCACATGCAGCAATGACGGATGGCGCTTGGGTGGCCCACTCCTGTTTGCCAGATCTGGGCCACAAGCAGGCCATAGCAATGCCACATGTCAGCCAAGAGCAAAGAAATAAACCAGAACTGGACTTTATCTGAGCCACAAAATCAGTGTATATTAAACATGGAGTTATCTCAACCTTAATAAGCCTCTTAACAAACAGAATCACTGAAGGAAAGAAGAGAATGAAAAAAGAGACGAGCAGAACAACTACAACTGACGTTAGAGACACAGTCTTAGATGAAATCACCTGAAGAGAAAAGAAGACATTAAATCTGTGAAGATCTCAGCAGAGGAGGATTAAACAACTCCACAAACAGCATTACCAGCTTCACTTATTACTAACCAGACTGACTGTATTTCTGTCAGACTTCTACAGAAGATTGCAATGCTGCATGTGGGCCAGATCTGCATGCCACAAGTGCCAGATGTGGGCCGGATCTGGGCCGAAACAATGTTGCTATGTGGGTACCATTGGTCACCCATTCTTTCCATTATTTAAATAGTTAGTTTAGCCCCCTACAGTCACCTATATACAACTTAGTTATTAGTTGAAGCATTGTTGCATTCTTGTAATTTTTTCATAAACAACATTTTATATAAAAAAATGTTGATAATTGAAATCAATGTTAAGTATCAACAAATATCACAGAACTCTGCTGCTGTACTGTATTACATTTATTTTCCAATATTTTCCAGCTCGTCTGCCACTTCCTGTCATCAGCAGAGACTGTTCCGTCCTCAGACTGTTCCAGAATTGTTCAGTGGTGTGTTCATCAGTGTTGAGTGTGTGTGATGCGACTCTGTCCTGGTACGCAGGAATGAGTGTATTGTCCAGCATCAGTGTGTGTGATCTCAGCATCAGTCTCTCTCTACCTCTGGAGGTGGAATATCAGGATAAAAACACCTACAGCTGTGTGATCAACAATCCCATCAGCAACCAGACCACACATCTGGACATCACTCAACTCTGTCAGCCATGTGCAGGTTTGTCAGCAGATGTATATTTTTCCTGCAAACTAAGTGAATCATATTTCTGTTATTTACTTTATTTTTTCTCTCTGAAGACTATATCCACTGTTGTGGTTTCACTGAAGCTGTGATCCGATTGGCTCTCTCTGCTCTGGTGGGCGTGGCTACTGTTGCTGTTCTGGTTTATGACATCAGATCCAGAAGTCTTCAGCAGAAGAAGAGAGAGCAAACGCCATCAGACTCTGATTAATCAGATACTCGGGAAGGTGGAGATGTTTTCAAGCAGATAGTTCACTTTGAAATTAATTTTTGATATGTTTTAGCTTACCTCAAGGGCATCCAAGATGTAGGTGTCTTTGTTTCCACAGTATTTTCAATTTTGATATTTTTAGGTCAAACGATTCTTGTCTGTCATTCATATGAATTATATAATGGAGGTCTATGGTCACCACCTCAAAGAGCATGCGCAGAGAAGTCCAAATTAAACATGATTTAATGACTCGTAAATGTAAGTACACATTGATGGCCTAAGACACGAAACGAGCGGTTTGTGTGAGAAAACAAACAGTATTTATATCGTTTTACGAAATTTACGAGAGTTTCTCTGCAGCTTCAGTTGCGGATCTGATCGCCTTTCTTTTTGCTTCCCCTGTGATGCCTACACTCTAAAAAATGCTGGGTTGTTTTAACTAAATTTTGGGTCAAATATGGACAAACCCAGCAATTGGGTTAAATTTTTAAATTACATTTTTAACCCAATGTTTGAGTTTGTCCATATTTGACCTTTTGGGTTAAAAAAAAAAACCAGCATTTTTTATAGTGTAGGATTTTAAACACATTGCAGAGTGATCGCCCTGCAAATCCTCTGCAGCCCACCTCCAAAGGCTCACAACGGGTTTGCCAGTCCTGCCTCCTATACACTCTTCAACTAACTCCTCGTATTTGGCGCGCTTTCTCTCATTTGCTTCGTCTATGCGCTCTTGCCAAGGCAGGCACCAACAAGATCCAACAAGATCAACTGTTTGGTAGAACTGAGAATATAATCATGTCTGGATGAAGCCTTGTGGATATTATTCTGGTAAATAATAAATAACTAAGCGAAATACCTCCAAATTGAACAAAAATAGCTCTCACAAACTTAAAAAAAATGAACTTACAAAATGTATTTTAGTGTTCTTCCTCTTTATCCTGTTTTTCCCTCATCCTCCTTGTTTGCCCATCAATGTTTTGCTGTAAAGCTGATCTTTCCCAGCAGTTTTTTGAAAACTAGGACATTTTCATCACTTTATAAAAATCAGCCAGTACGGCCAGGACAGGACGTGAAAACAGGACATGTCCTGGGAAAACAGGACTGTTGGTCACCCTATCATGAATCCCTACAGGAAATCCACCCTGGGCTTCCTCTCGAGAGAAAAAAAGGCTCTCCTGAGAATGAACATTTCAACTCTCTTGCTTCTACATCAACACTCTTCGAGACGTAACACAGTACAGTTCACACCTCACTCTTACAGTCATCATCTCCCCTGCTCCCCCTCTTCTCCTCACTTAAAGCTCACTAATAACCTATGCAATGATTAAGTGTGTACGAAAGTAACTATACATGTTTGTAATTGTCAAGTGTTTTAAGCTGTACAGGTCCCTCACTTGAAAGGGATTCATTCAGATGATGCTTTAAAGGTCCACTCACAAGAATGAGATGCAATTTGCCTTCTCTCCATTTATTGCAGAATTTCAGTAGGTGATGTTGTGGAAATTTTAATACTCATTGATTTTGCTTATACATCTGAAATACAGGAGCGAGATGCTCACATCAGGGGGAGTACTTTAGGGCCAGTTAGAAATTAAGCAGCCATGAGGCCTTTATCTAAGGAATGTGGCAGAGAGGAGTACACCTTTCAAATGACCTTCAATACAGTATAAAAGCTGCCCAGCCTCTCCTGACGTGGTCTCACTCACTCCACATGGTCACTGCTGTGTCGGCAACTGGGCCTATTCTTGCAAGAATAAATACTTCTCTTTATAATATTTTGACTCTGAGTGTCTCTAACGCAGTGATGATGTTTAACAGGATTTTTGCCACAACAGTGAAAAACCTTTAAAACCACACAACAAACCAGTGTAAATAGTTACAACAAATCTCAAGTAGGGCCTAAACAGCAATGCAAAAATTTAATCACCAAAATCTCACACTGACTGTACATAAGTTTATACTGGTTTAATTTGGTAAGTATTAGCACATGGCTATTTATTTTTACTGTTTAACACTATCTATCTGTCTGTCTGTCTGTCTATCTATTTATCTATCTATCTTCCTTCAACAATAAGTTGGCGATTGAAAGTAAAGGTCAGTTACATACGGTCATCGTTAAAAATATTCTTGTTTGCCGTAACCCGACCGACCAACCCGATCTCACGGGAATTCGTACGATTTTTACGAGGTGGCTAATTCGTAACAATTTGTACGACCTGTTATAGAACATTTTTTAACATTATTTTTCTTTTCCTTTTCATTCTACATTATGAGGTTTGTTCCTTTCAATTAAAACGTGTTTCTTCCCCTTATACTCTGTATTTACATAGCAGGAACTCTCACACACACACAGCCAAAGATATGCTAAAGGCCTTTGTTTATAGACAAGGGAACCAGCGCATTATAAAGCCTTTTGATCCCATCGACTTTTGATCTTACAGGAGTAAGGGCAGTAAAACACCATAGGGCGAGGGGCAGGAAGACCATTATAATAAACCTGCTTTATCTGGTTTTACGGGGTAAACGGAAACTTACAAGAAGGAGCTCGGGGGGTAAAGAGGTGTATAAAAGCTGTCTGTTCTATATGTCATTTAGGTCTGTGTTCCTATCGCGAGGTAGCTGTCAGGGTATTTTTGTGAACAAGCCTCCTCCAAAAGAATAAACATCTTTTGGAGTACAATCTGAATCTAATGTCTCTTACTATGATGCTGTTTGTTAATTAAATTGTTTTTGCCACAACAGACCTCACTCGTACGAATTAGAACGATTTTGCTAAATCGTAGCCTACATATTTTACGAATTAGCCAATTCATATGAATTCGTACGAATGACCTACCCCTGACCCCGCCCCTAAACATAACCGTCACGTGGGTTTAGACAAATCGTACAAATTCGTACGAATTAGCCACTTTTGAATCACTCGTACGAATTCGTACGAATTGGTCGTGAGATAGGGTAGACCGACCCTGTCAATTTAGGACAGACTGAATTTTTTTTCTTCTTCTTTTTCCTTTTAGTCAGACCAACTTGCAGGTTGTAAAGACTAATTCAAATTCAATAAAATAATATTAATTAAATTTTAGTTAGTTGCTTATGTCTACGTACAAACGTAGGCTACATTCTTTCTTTTTTTATTGAAACATTTTCAAAGAAGAAAACAATCACAATATAGAACAAATAAAGAGAAAAAACAAAAAAAGGCTACAAGAAAGGGGTATGAAACTAATCAGAAAAAAATTACATATCAAAGGAAAAGATTAAAAGACTTGCATATTTCAGTTGTTTTTAAAGCCTTCTTGGTACACGAATCAGAGATAGTCCCAACGTAATGTTGTATTTCAATCAGCAAAACATTGAAAAGTGGTTTCTGACCTGAGAATTTACAGTTATGTATATAATTTTTTTGTCAACAAAGAAAGAAGATTAAGAAGGAATATTTTGTTTTTGTGTAATTGTTCTATTTTTTCCCGTAAACAAATCCAAATAAAACATTTTCCCAACTTAGAGAAAATTCCTTATAAATGTTCTCAATAACAAATCGGGAAAAGTTTTTCCACAATAAATTAGAATAATGCCAAAGCCAAAATAAATGCACTATAGTCTCTGGGTGCTGTTTACAAAAAGAACAGTTTACGTCAATATCTTTTTAAAATTAATTTAAGAAGGCATTAACTGGATATACACGATGGAGAATTCGAAAGGAAACTTCTTTTATCTTATTAGTATTTAAATATCTATTCGGAATCAGCCAAACCTTTCTCCAGAAAATATCAGGATCAAAAGCATTCCAATAAACTGTGACATTTGGGATTGCTATACATTCATTCAGAAATAATTGGCATATCAATCTATAAGAAGAAGTGGATGAAAAGCAAAATTTCCCCACCATTGTAAGGATCTAGAGGAGGTAAAGAAGAGGGGAACTATTGAATTATTGAAAGTAAGAATTTCCGTGACACAGTGAGAGGTATTGAAGCCCCTCCAAACGTCGGTTCCAGAGAGAACAGCCAGCAATAGTGCGGAGGTGAAGAGATGCGGAAAATCCAGGAGCTTCCAGCTGTAGACAAGGACAAGGACCAGCAGGTGAACAGTCCAGTACCAATCCGTAAGTCTAGGAATCCTGAACACAGCTCACTAATAAGTAGCGCGCACGCCATAAAACAGTCCACTGACAAACACTGTTAGACACATCTGGGAATATAAAGGGTAGAGGAAACGGGGGACAGGTGTGGAAGATCAGCTCATGAATGTGCAAATTAGGCACTATTTTAAAGCCCACAGCGAAAGTGCACTTAGGTCGTGTTCGAATCCACTTTTGCAAGTTTAACAACGAGAAAAGAAAGATGGCAGCCTCTCAACATCAGTTTGATCAAGAGTTTGATCAGTGTCTCATGGCGACTCCTGCATACACCACATCTTCCTCCTCTTGAACTCTCTGAAAGAAAACAAAAACACACATTTACATCACAGATGTACTTTTCACACTTAAATGGCCATGAAACCCCAAAATAAAAATTTTGACATTTGACACATTTTGACACATGTACAGGCTACACATAATTGAAAACACTAAACATACTCATAAAGTTAATCCATAAATGGACATGAGTTATTTTTGCATTTTTAAAGGTGCATTGCGCAACATTTCATGTTAAAAATACCTGTTTTTCCAGTAGCGATTTCTTTAAGACTGCAAGGGAAGCTCAGCTTCCCCTATAATGTCAAAAAATTAATGGTCAAATGTGTAGGCTACTATTGTGTTAACATTTTACTGATTAAAAATGCGTTAGAACACGGTCATCTTGAAGACGAATTTGCTTAGAATCAGTTACAGTACATATAGCAGGTCGGCTGACCTCCATCTCATAACGCGTCACAGTGAATTTCCCTATGGCATTTCCCCATTGAAGCTCAGCGTCCATTGACTTAAATGGGGCTGCTTTTGCTGTATATTGTGCAATGCTTTATGTGACTACATTTCCCATGATGCACTGTGTACTTATGTTCCGGTGTTATGTGAAGTGATGTCTGAAGAAGAAGTAAACAGAGCAGTCACGCTAAGTTGTGTGTCATATTTACCTCCATCCCCGCACACTCTTTGAGAACACAATAGACACAATTTGAACAGTGTTTTTTTAGTGCTTCGAAACTAGACGGTCATTGGATAAATGCTGCGATTATGTCCTGGCCATGGAAGCCGGGTGTCTCTGGGGTAAATAGGGAAGTGGGCGGGCCTGGAGTCTGGGCGTCCGCGTGATGATTGGTGGACTGCATCTCCTTTTGATTGACAGCGATTTCGCACAATAAAAAAAAAAAATCGCTGACGCGGAAGCTATTTGAGATTTCCAGCTCAGTCTTATCGCTGATTTTAAGTGTAGCCTATTAGAATGACGAACTGTTGTAACATATTTCTTAGTATTTGCAAATTTTCATCAGACACTTCACAGTTTAACCTAATTCCCACATTTTTTCAGTCGATGGCAGGTGCCTTGTTACATGTGCGGGCGTGGTGTTTGAATCATGGCACATCTGTCTAGTTTGGTTTCGGTATTGTGTCGGGATTCAGACAGACATGCTCGGCGTGTTTGTTTTCGCAAGTTTAAAAGGGGTTGGTCTGAAATAGCTTAGGTGTGGTTTGGGCGTAACGGAAACAAACCAATAAGAGCGTCATATCACATTGTCTTTAAGAGCGTGATGAACGAGGTGCGCTTGTTCTATGGCGCAATTCTATTTTAACCATTTACCAGACGCGCTTCACAATCGGTTCACAGCCGAGGAGATCGATGTTCTCATCAGGGCCGTAAAAGAAAGAGAAGTGACATTGTGGCTGGGACAAACCCACCCAAATTAGCTTCAGTTAAAGATGTATATGATAATTTGAGTAAATGTGTAACTTAGCCTATTTTTCCCATCGTCATGGACACAACAATGATTTCCTTCATATTTATATATTTTTCCATATAATAATGTATCATTTGCAAAAAGTAAAATGCATCTGTGTAGCTGAGAGAATCATCTACAGTGTATGCTCGTTGTTCACACTCTGTATTATGGCCAAGCATGCACGCTTAAGATAGCATCTGAATGTCCAGCCCATTCTCACCCCCAAGGCGTCACTTAACTGACGCCTTGGGAAGCATTTGGACATGCTTCAATATCTGACGCTTTAGGCGCCCTTTAGCGTCAGTTAGATGACGCCCTAGGATCGCGTGTACCCTACCCCCACCCAACACCTAAACCTAACCGCGTCCTCTAACTGACGCTTTCCTTTAGCGTCAGTTAGATGACGCCGTAGGATCGCGTCATGTAAGTGACGCTAAAGGGCGCCTAAAACGTCAAAGATTGAAGCATGGTCAAAGGTGACGCCTTGGGGTGAGAATGCGTTGTGAATGTACGCGCAACGTGCCACTGACTTTAGACTAGGTTTTTTTCTGGTCAGTGGCGCAATTGTTTTCTGGAACTGCAAAATAGCACCGATAGGATTGTTTGCGCCGAAACACGCCACCTTTTTGCGCCGACCCGCCCAGGGAGCGCAAGTTCATTTCCTAGTTTACTGACGTGCGTCTGTGGAGGAAAAAAGCCAGCTTTGCGATAAATGCGTCAGTTTATAAAGTCATTTGCGCCGGGTGCAAGATAGGGCCCTTTGACATGTCACAAAAGATTTGTGCGGCTGATAGTATGTGTCACGGTGTGTGCAGGCAGAAGGACAGGCTGAGTCCAGGTTCCAATGAAGACAATATATTTAATACCAAATACAGGCAGGAAGACGGGGTACACAGAGTAACATTCAACAGTGACCGACAACACTGAATCAAACTGAACTGAACTAAATACACAGAGGAATAAGGCTAATTGGGGTGAACACAGGTGAAAATGATAATGACAGGACGAGGAACAGGTGGCTGATTGGGGAGTGAGTCCGGGAGAGGAACAAAAGGATCCGGGGAAGTGTAGTGCAGATGACGGGACAAACAGGTGAAGACGACAGACTGTGACAGTATAAAGGTAAAATGAAGGAGAAAAAAAATCGCATGCGCAGGGACAGGGTAAGATTTGTGGAAAAAGTACATAAGATTGCAAGCGTAAAATAAATTTGCATGTACAAAGGAATATTTGTAAAGGTGTAAATCGCCCTTCAAGTGTAAGAAAAAAATATTTGCAGCATTTAACTGTTATTCGTAAGTGTAATTCGTGTATTTTGAAGTTGCAGCTTCATGCTAACGCAAAATAAATAAGATCTGTTTTCTTCAGACTTTAATTTTTCCGCGCTTACACTTTTGGCACGGTTTTTGCGCACAACTGCGGCCAAAAGTATTGCAAGCCTGTGAACAGCAATCTGCAAACGAAAACAACAAAGGCAGGAACTGCAAAACAGATGAATTGCATAAAATTAAACTTTGTGTAAAAAAGAAACTGTTGCAAATGTCTGAATGACTTGTTGTGTGTCTGGGGCAAAAAGGTTCCCGAAATAACCCGATCTGTACAGTCTCTCTTTTTCCTGCGCTTCCAGTTTTGGCAGGATTCTCTCACTTAATTTCGCAAGCACGAAGAGGGTCCACCTTCATCATGTAACCAATCAGATGAGCTTCTCGCTGACACTCGATTTACTCTGATCTGATTGGTTCAACATACACGCCAGTCGTTCATTAATGATGAATGACACCTGTGAGATGCACCGGTCTCGTATTTCTCACAGAGTAGCGGAAGCATAAAAGGAGGAGTGACGACAGTGAAGATCGAGAGAGGCCAGGCCAGGATTTCATTTAATGTTTTAAGATCAGAACATTTATTTAATGTAATGCAGTTGTCCGTGTGGGGCTGCTGTCTTTTACTTTCAATTTTGTATTTGTTTTATTTTGTTATTAAATTGTGTGACTGTGAATGTTCACCGGTTCCCGCCTCCTTTTTCCTTCCTTACACTGAACCTTGTTAAAGTGGCGGTATAGCAAATTATTCTAATAGACAGAAAACACAAAGCCTACTGCACATTTTATAAACAATAGTTTAGTGTCAGCATTTGATGGGGAAATATGTAAAATTATGAAATGATGAAAGGCTTAATCTGACTGAAATAACACACACAAAACAAATAAAAAACAATTTATCTTACCGATTTTTGAGCTTTTCTTTTGTAGAATGTCGGATCAGCATACGTTATTTCTTCATCACTCTGAACTGTTTGAACAATATGATGACAGACTGTTAAAAAAACTGAATAAAAGATGTTTGAGAATTATTGTTGTGCTTTTTCTGCAACACGTTTAAATTTTTTTATTATTATACTATGGGGCTGTTGAATGCTCGATTCAGATGGACCCTTTTCACGGACTGTGACACGTTTGCACAGGTAGTCTATCAATATGACAAATCTAGTAAAGTTTTTCATATTTTCATTTTTAAAAACTTAAAATTCAACATTCTCAATATTTTACGCACTTTTTGGAAAGTCAGGGAAACAATGGGATTTTTTTTTCCTGAGTACGAATCCGCATAAACTAGAAAGTTCATGATTAAGTTCACGGCGATCATTGAGTTAACTTATTAGCTGCATGCTCATTTTCTCTTGTGTACCATAGAAACATTCTCTTTAGCAGATTTTCTGGTGTTCAAAACATACTTTTCAGGGCAAGTGTATACAACTTAAATGCTCTTACGAATATTATTAAGCTTTGTCTATAGTTGTCAAAAAATTCTTGGTAAAAGTAGTACTTTTCTAAGAGTTGGAGACTTTTATAAAGAATCTAAAAACAAATTTCAGTAAAGTTTTTGACTGATTCTTAAGTGATACTGATGCGGCACTTAAGTGCTGCTACAATGTCAACTCAAAATGGATTAACAATAGTGAATCCATAGTGAATCCTCAACCACTGAATTAACAATAGTGAGTCTACAAGGGTGAGGTCACAGTAGCATGATGTGGGATTACAAATGTAAGAATCTGTTTAAGATCTGCTGATCTTATGTCCTTAAATAACACAACATGAAAAACTACATTGAAATTAGCATTTAAGATTATGATGATAATATCAGCTGTTTAGCAAACTTTCCAGCAAGAGATTCCTGCCAGTCCTGTTCTCTCTATTATTTAAATATATATTATATACTTATATATCAATATATTAATTATGTATTAATTAAATATATTATATACTTACTTATTATATACTTACTGGTATATAAATCATTCAATGGGTTAGGACCTCAATATATTGCAGATTCTCACTGAATATAAACCCAACAGATCACTCAGATAATTAGGATCACATCAGCTAGAAATACCAAGGGTTCACTCTAAGCATGGAGAGTCTGCTTTTAGCTATTATGCTGGAACCAGCTTCCAGAAGAGATCAGGTGTGCTCCTACAGTAGTCACATTCAAATCCAGACTCAAAACACATCTGTTTAGCTGTGCATTTACTGAATGAGCACTGTGCCACTGTACGTCTGACTGTTTTTACTGTTCTGCTTTAATTGCTTTAATATCGCTTTATACTGCTCTGACTGGAAGAGATTTTGAAGGAGAGCGGGAGAGTCTTCACTCCGATGAGGCTAGTGAAGGAGTTGCTGAGAGCGTCGTTAAGTAACGGCAGCAGACAGTGCTCTGTGGGGGCTCTACTGGTGTACCACCACCCTAGCAGAGTATGGCAAGCCGTTTTAACATTTTAATCATTTTAACCTACTAGTTTCTATTTTCATGCTACTAGTACTTATTTTTTTAGATACTAGTATCTATTCCATTAAGTAGTACTTATTCATTAGATACTAGTACCTATTTAATAGATACTAGTACTTATTCAATAGATACTAGTACCTATTTATTCAGCCCATTCTCACCCCCAAGGCGTCACCTAACTGACGCCTTGGGAAGCATTTGACCATGCTTCAATATCTGACGCTTACCTAACCGCGTCCTCTAACTGACGCTTTCCTTTAGCGTCAGTTAGATGACGCCCTAGGATCACGTCATGTAAGTGACGCCTGTAAAGGGCGCC